GTTTATTTTTCCCAGATCTTTACTAAGGTTTAAAAATTGTTTTAGTTATTGAAGTCAGCTTGCTTTGAACAAGGGCACCTGTAATTGACAGAAAAAGAAGAGGGTGGTTTCTTACAATGGACACTAGGGGAGATGAGTCTTGCAAAGAGAAGGCTCTTTTGAAAGGATTCCAGGTTTCTCAAAAATAAATGCACATAAATGAAGTTGGGCGCTTCAGCAGAATTTAAGTATGAGTTGCAGCAGACCTTAAGAAAGGTTTCGAGTGTAAAGTTTATTTGGGATGTGTATGGTATAGGGATAGCAAAGGGGTGTTAATATGGGAAAGGGAAAATGGAACAATGAAGATCGTTTTCTTAATCTAGCTACTAGGCAAGGTAACTGGAATTTAAGACTCTCGAGCGATTTTGGAAATGAGGCAAAACACAATGCTCAAAATTGCCTTACCTTAGGGTGAGACTGCTGCATTATACCATTTTAGAGATTTATTGCTTGAGGCCTATCCTGGTGATAATGATTCAATACTTCTGGACTGCCATGTGTGACAGCAGCAAGTCTTTCACCAGCTCTAGGAGAAACAAAAGCTGGTAAATGCAGAGATACAGATACTATTTATACTAGTTGGCTGTTGGCCACAATTCACCAAATATCTCAAGGGATCTAAATGTTTCATGACAACTGCTGCAACAGTTGGAGATGAGTGGTAGGGATACTGTGCATGTAAACCATTCAACTACCTATGTACAGATCATTTCAAAGGATCATCAGGGTTGGCAGTGCAGAAAGAAGTCAGGGGCAGGGTTTTATGTATCTGTGTGTGTGTGTGTGTGTGTGTGTGTGTGTGTGTGTGTGTGTGTGTATGTGTGTGTTCAGTTATCTCATTTGTGACTTAAACCTGGACTTCTTTGAATGAACATGTCACTGCTGTATTTTTAAGTCAGTGAACTAAAATGAAAAAAAAGACAATGTAACTCTCAGCAAATATGATTTGGAAAACTTAGAACAACTTTCAAATAAAGGTGGTCTTATTAATGTTGGAAGTATAGTTAATAATTTTCATTGTACATTCTGTCAAAACAAAGAGAAAAAGCAAAATCCTAAACTTCTACTTAGTTAAGGCAATTTTACACGGAAATAATTATCAAAATCAGAGAACTCTTTGCCAGTTCAGCTTATCCAACACCAAAACTGAAAAATAGTTGACTTCAAAGAGGCAAAGAATCATTTATAAGTCCTTTTCCTTAACTAAGATTTTCATAAAATCTGAGTGAAGCATTTTTTATGTTTATATTTTCTAGGAAAGATTTATACTTGAACAACTATGGTGGTTCAATGAAGGGAGCTCTATGCACAAAATACAAATTAAAGAGATGGAAAACTTTTGACTACATGAAATATAACAAATCAAATAATTTCTTGTTTTTGTGTTTTTTTGGATGTTGGTTAAAAGACCACTTTTACAAAAAGGTTCATCTATAGTAATCTCATAATGCTTAAAAATAATATAAAACACAAAGAGTTTGTCTTTTCTTTTCTTTTTTTCACTCTGTCACCCAGACTGGAGTGCAGTGGTATGCTCCTGGCCACCACAGCCTTGACCTTCTCGGCTCAGAGGATTCTTCCGCCTCAGACTTACAAGTAGCCAGAACTAGGCACGTGCTACCACGCCCGGCTAATTTTGGATGTATTATAGAGACGAGGTCTTGCCAAGTTGCCCAGGTGGGTCTTGAACCCGCAGGCTCAGGCAATCCACTCGCCTCGGCCTTTCAAAGTCCTGGGATTACAGGCTGAGCCACAAAACCCAGCCAAAAGTTCATCTTTTCCAAAAATATTCATATACAATAATCTCAAATTTCTTTAAAATAAACAATATAAAACACAATATGATTTATACGAGGGTCTTCTTTTGTATGGGGATGAATAGTAGATTTCAATTCCAGATACTACATTGTAGATCAAGGTAACAAGGCTACTCTTCTATGGACAAAAAAAGTGTAAATTGAAGTACCAGTATATGATCTGAATGAGATAATATATTAACAATGATAATAATTAACATATTAGTAAAAACAAAAAGTATAGAATAGCTGAAGTCAAGTTCAAAGAACTTTAAAGAAAGGAACAGTGAGGTATTGCAAGAAGTTTTGAAGGTTACCGTAATTGAGGCAGTTAAGTGTTGGTTTAGCTCAGCTGAAACAGTTTTTGTTTTTATTTTGAGTTGGAGTCTCACTCTTGTCACCTAGATTGGACTGCAGTGGCACGCTCACTTAGACAATCTTTCCGCCTCACCTTCCAAGTAGCTGGAACTACAGACACATGCCACCATGCCCGGCTAGTTTTTGTGATTTATTGTAGAGATGAGGTCTCACCAAGTTGCCCAGGTTGGTCTCGAACCCTCGGGCTTGGGCAATCCTCTCACCTTGGCCTCCTAAAGTGCTGAAATTATAGGCTGAGCCATCGTGTGCCTGGCCTGAAGCAGTTTTAGAGCCCGCGTGTGTGTGTGTGTGTGTGTGTGTGTGTGTGTGTGTGTGTAAACATACCAGAAATCTTCTCCAGTTGTGCCTTTTTGACCTTTGCCTGCCACTGTTGGGTTACCATGTCAGGGATGAAAGGAGAGAATGAGACAGGGAAATGCCAACCGAAGTGACCTTGGGCAAGTTACTCAACTTAATGTGCCTCAGTTTTCTCATTGGTAAAAATGAGTTTTCTTATTCTTATTATTGTTATTTTTGAGTTGGAGTCTCACTTTGTTGCCCAGACTGGAGTGAAATAGCACGCTCCTGGCCACCGCAGCCTCCACCTGCTGGGCTCCAGCGATCCTTCCCCTCAGCCTTCCAAGTAGCCGGAATTACAGGTATGCGCTACCACGCCCAGCTGATTTTTTTGCTTTATTGTAGAGATGAGGTCTCCCTGCCCAGGCGGGTCTCGAACCCGCGGGCTCAGGCAATCCACTCACCTCAGCCTCCCAGGCTGAGCCACCGAGCCCGGCATCAGTATTATTATGTATCTACAATATCAAACCGTTTTCAAAAGTAAATGAACATATGCTAAGTGACTTAAACTATGTTAAGTACAAAGTGGATAAATATTTGTTTTTATTAAAACACAAAAAATGCTGTGTGGAGTTGTATTAAACTAAGAAAATTTACTTTTGGTTTGTCCATCTGTTTCTTTATTTTCCAAATAACTTTAAAGAAAGCTTTTGATGTTTACACATTCAAAAAAGCATCTCTCTCACCTCCTTTAGTACTTGTTAAAGTGTTAACATTACAAAAATACTCTGAGAATTTCCTGTACTGTGGTTCCTGGAACATTTTAGAAACTTGTGATTTTACTGCTTCTTATTTGTGGTATAGATATGTGTCTCAGCGATAGATGATTCGAGAACATCGTTAAATGCACAATGTTTTTTCTTTTATGCTAAATTTTAGATTTAATAAGTTTTACATTGAATTTTTCCTTTAGGTTTAATACTAACAAAACTATAGAACCAATTGGTCTGAAGGGCTAGGGGAATGTTGAACTTTTGGATTTTATAACTTAGCTCAGGTTTTACGATCCAACACATTTCTTCCAGAGCAAGTACACATCGTGCCTTCTCTTCATCGACCTTGGAACATCGTTTCTCATGGCAGGTATGTGTGATCCCAGTCACAAATTAAAAAATAAATAATAGCCAGAAAAGGTAGTTCATGGGTTGGTTGATTTCATTATGGTGCTGTAAGAAAAAAGGACATGATTAACAATGATATTTTTACGCTTTTCATGTGGCAGTAGTCTCCACATTTATTTTATTTTCCTGATTCTTCCTTCTATAGCTTAGGCGTATTTTGTGAAACTTTTTCAACAGATTTTAAGAGTGGCTTCTGACAGAGATACCTCTAAATTCTAAATGAGACCCGGACTTACCTAGTTACATTTTAGCATAGAAATAAAGAGAAAGCCACATATTAATGACACACTGCTTTAAAAAGATTTTTAGAAATTTGCTGTTTTATTGTGACACCTCCAAATTACACAGATTCACATTTTGACACTTAGTACAGTTTTAATGGTAACATCATTCTTTGAGGATGTGTTAATGTTAATGCAGAATCTCCTAATTTTGAAATGATTTAGGGATAAAGCCTATAAACCAGCAATTATGAGTATGAGCAAAAGTAACATTATTTGAAAAAAAGATTGTTTATGTATCATAATTCACTATACTGTGAATTGAACCTGGGTCCCCAAGGTATTACCCATACATTGGTTGTAGAACCAGTTATCACACCAGGTCCAAATGCGCCTATGTCCTCTCTTCCTTATAATACCTTTACAATCCTCTGAGTAGTTAGACATTTATCAGAGCAGAGCCTGTAAGGAGATGAGGAGAAGACACACTCCCACATAATATTATTGTGTTTATGATAGACTATGCTAAATGAAAGATTCTGGATCTAGACAGACTTCCAATCTATTTCTGACTAAGATACTTACTAGCTTTGAAATCTTGATAAAAATAATTGGTCCCTATGTTTTCTCATTTACCAGATGGGTATCATACTATCTATCTTGTAATTTTGTTGAGAGAATAAAAGTAAACGTCTGTTACCTAAGCACAAAGAACACAATTTGATGCCTGTTGATCTCTTCTTACTTCAGATCTTTAGGTTTCTCTTCCATTTAAAAAAATAAATGGTAAATCCACTTTACTGAGATAGAGCTAATAGAAAAGAAGATGTGTGGATAATTTCCCCGAAGAATATATTACACCACATAAAAATGTGTGTATTGGGGGAAGTCCTGAGTGGAATATCATTTTTCAGTGTTTCATTGGCAGAATGATTGTGTTATAAAATGAATTTTTTTAAAAATTTTTCTTCACTGATTTCTGCTTTTCAGAACTTCAACTCCTGTGTTTGTTTTGTATGTTATTATCCTATCTCTCTTTCTCTACAGTATTTCAGACCACTCCGTGGAGACTTATTTCTGGGATCTTAGGAGTAATATGCCTTTCACTGATGGCTGCGCTAGGAATTTTGTTGTCAAATTGTAAGTTTTTTAAGGCAACTCTACATAAATATCAAAACTGTGATGATATTATTTAACATTAAAAGTTTCACATTATTAACGTATAATATATTAGTTCATAAACTTCCATATAATTAGGAAATTTCTAATTATTTCTTGTAGTATTTTCTAAACCAAGGATAGAGCTAATGCCCTCTCCAGGCCCTGACATGGGACTCCAGGAAAGTAAGTTATATACTTTGAAAAAGCTTAGCACTGGTAAAGGTTTAAAAAGACAGTTTCTTGTTCAGGCACACAGGAACGTAATGGAATGCTACACTTAGTAATACATGTTTGCCTACTAATTGTAGAATAGTCTCACGTCATTGTTCTCTAACTTATGGATGATCAAAATAAATTGAATATACCTTATTTATATATATGAGTGTGTATATAAATATACATATATATATATATATATATATTGAGTTGGAGTCTCACTCTGTCACCCAGGCTGGAGTGCAGTGGCATGCTCATGACCACTGCAGCCTCAACCTGCTGGGCTCAGGTGATTCTTCCACCTCAGCCTTCCAAGTAGCTGGAACTACAGGTACCAGCCACTATGCCTGGCTAATTTTGTTATTTTTTAATTTATTGTAGGGATGACTTCTCACCAAGTTGCCCAAATTGATTTTGAACCCGTGTGTTCAGGCAATTCTATTACCTCGGCCACCCAAAGTGCTGGGAGTATAGGTGTGAGCCACCGTGCCCGGCTATTCATATATTTAAAAAGAAAAACAGTAGTCTGAAATGACAGATGTTGTCATATGAATGCTCACAATTAAGTAACAATTAAAAATATATACTACCATAAATATTATAATCAATCCTAATTGCCTGCCTATGCTTACCTTTAACTTGAACTCATATCTCTTGACATAGTTTTTTTTGTTTCTTCTATGATGCAGAATCTAGTGCAAAGTGCAAACTTTTTCATGTATTTTTTCCAGATGGTTCCCTAAGTTGTCTCACTATCAATTTATATCTTAACACCATCAGCATCATTCATATGGCAAACATTTGGGTGCTACTATGTGTCATGATTTTTATCACTGTGGATAAGTAATATTTGAAGACACTATCTCTGATAAATTGCATAATCAAGCTTCAAATAATTGGATGATCTTTCTTTTTTTGAAAAATAAAACACTGAAACATACACTATTAGAATTCTCCCATTGTATCATATCAAACTTTAGGATAACTGTTTATCTTTCTTTTTGAAAAATAAAATACTGAAACATATACTATTAGAATTCTCCCAATGCATCATATTCACATTCTCACATTATGATGCATTTTCCAATGTATCATATTTTTTTGTGATCAAAATATATGCCAAAATGCTTTCCTTTTTTAAATTTCTTTTTTATCTGTTTGGCTCCTATTTACACTATGGTTGAGCTTTAGGTCCCTTCCTCAAAAATGGTTCTTCTAACTATCCTCATCTAACACTCTGCTACATGCTGTTTTAACATACTGCAATTTTTGTATACTTACCTAAATTGTCATTAAATATAGTAATAAATGATTAGGAGTTATATCATTCTGAATCTATCTCTACAATAAAATCTCCATGAGGAAAAGTGTCATATTTAATTTGTTCATGTTAGTATCACAAGAACTGTGGTGTTCATAGTACATTCTCAAAGAATATTTAAATAATACACGAATAAATAGCAAATGATTCTTGTTTAATAATTAAATAGTATTAAAAAGTGGAAAATGTCATTGTCATCAGACATGGTTTATTTTTTCTCTTAGGCTCTGACTGCTGTTCTTGCCCAGAAAAGTGGATTGGGTACCGATGCAACTGTTACTTCATTTCTAATGAGGAGAAAACTTGGGAAAAAAGTAGGCAGTTCTGTGATTCTCTGAACTCCAGTCTACTTCAACTTCAAACCAGAGATGAACTGGCATGTACTAAGTCTGGTTTCATACATTTTTTTGACCTAGAAACATATACTATCTAATTAAGCTAAATAATGTAGTTCGAGTGTATTTTATTTTTTGTGAGCTTGAGTCTCATTCTGTTGCCCAGGCTGGAGTCCAGTGGCACACTCATGGCCACCCCAGTGTCGACCTGCTGGGCACTGACGATCCTTCTGCCTCAGCCTTTCAAGTAGCTGGAATTTTGCGTGCATGCTACCACACCCGGCTAATTTTTGCTTTATCATAGAAACGAGGTCTCACCAAATTGCCTGGGCTGGTCTTGAACCTGAAGGCTCCAGCAATTCTGTCACCTCGGCATCCCAAAGTGCTCAGATTACAGGCTGAGCCACTGAGTCCAGCTTTATTCCAGTGTTTAATCAGATGGTAAATGAATGAACCAATGACCTATCAATTCCATGTCCCGTGAAATAATCACCATAAAACTTGCATAAAAGATCTTTAAGATTTATGTCATAGGAAAAAGATCAAGATAATTACCAAATGAAGGCAAAAGAAAGTTTTCAGGGAGAATTCAAAGAACGAAACAATAGGTCATCATATTTACCCATTTTATTAAGGAAACTCAACTAAATTTCTTTTTGATTTTTAGCTATTTTAATGGAATTTATAATTTATTTTGTAATTTTACAGGTTTTGTCATTTTTCTGTTATATAATATGGAACTAGTATGGAGATTATGATCATATAAATCACTCAATTCTTAAGAAAAAGTGAAAAACTTCTTCAGCTACATGCTAGCACCTGTGCTGACTATAGATTAAATAGATTTATCATTAAAATACTATTCATTTGGAATCAAATTTGATGGTTGAATCTTGTGGAGGAAGTGTTTCATGTAAAGTCTACCTCCCTTTATAAGGCTTTTCTTTTCTTCAAGAAGTGAGATTTTGTGTTATTTTTATCTTGCTAAATGAATGTGCCTGATCGATAAAAAATGTGAGGCCTGGACTATACCTTCTATATTAGAAATTAAAAATAAGTTCAGTTTGTGTAACGGAAAGGCTGAATTTTATTCTAAATGCAAACTTTCTTTAGAACATGTTATTTCCAAGGTACTTAAAATTATATTACTTTGTTTTTCTCTGTCTCTTTGCAGGATTTCATGCACTCCAGTCAGTACTTTTACTGGATTGGACTGTTTTATAGTAAAGAACATAATGCCTGGCTGTGGGAGAATGGCTCCACTCTCTCCAAGAACCTGTGAGTTTCTGGCAGTGAAGGCCTTTTTTGTTCTTTGTAAAATTATCCTTAGATCTGACTAGTGGAGGTAGCTTTCAGGAGCCCAGTAGCTGAAATAACCTGTCTAGGGCATGAGGATAAGAAAAAAGAAAATGCACAGCAAAGTAACAATTTTAGATTCACCTAGAACATTTAAGTTCATGCTCAAGTGACATGAAAGTTAGTGTATTTGTAACCACAAAAGAACGTTTGACAGTGCTTCACTTTTGCCTTAGCACAAGTACATTGATGTCTATGTCTATGTACAGATACTCACATTCACAGAGGCAGTGCAGATAAAATGGTATATCTATTATTTCCTTTATTGTGTGGAGTCCAATATTCTCTGCATCCTTCCATGTTTTAAACATTCTGAGCTTATTTTCTATATATTTGTCATTTTTAAATCTCCTTTTTATTTATAAACATGAAATTTGCAGCATCACACAATGACAAAATTTATGCTCTGGTTTGCTTTTCTGTAGTAGGTCAGCTAATACATCTTAAACAAAATAGAGTTAAAGCATATCATACATACACACCATTACTGACAACAGCAAAAACAGAACAGAACAAATATCCTCATTTTCAATGTTATTGATTAGTGAGGGATAGCTTGGTGTTTTACAGCATTGTACTTTAGAGACATGCAAACTGTGTTTGTTAAAGAAAAAATGATTCAATATGTAAATGTCATATCCAAATGATTTTAAAGATTATACTATTTAATTTAAAAATTTTCTGAATATTCTCACTTTCTTCTTCATTACAGATTCCCACTCACTGAACTTTTTAATTCACAGAAATGCATAATCTATAGTCCAAAACAAAATGCTTTAGATGAATCCTGTGAAAGGAAAAATCGTTTTATCTGTAAGCAACAACTTATTTAAATGTTTCTTGGGTCATAGAGAGTAAGAACTAAAGGCCAAAGAGCACTAATAATAACACATTTACCACTTATATTGTTACAAATTGTCTACTTCTGGGGTTTATAAAATGTTTTAAATGCTGTCTTATCATACAATATTTGCTTGCTTGAAATCATGAGTTTTAAAATAAAGGAAACTTGAGCTCCTATGCCTGAAATTATATAGTCAAGATAAATAAATATGAATATTTTCATTTGTTGTGTATGTTTATTATGAAATTAATGTAGCTCTATTGCACATTTATGTAGTTTTATATAATTCTTACAAATTTTCTCAGCAGAATTTTAAATAAAATTTAATTTATACCAAATAATATATGTCAACATCATTTCAGTCTCTTGCATAGCATACTAAATTGGGAAGTTATAGTCTCATCTCACTTTTCTGAAAGTAAAAGTAATTTTAATATTTTTGTTAGTTTTTTCTTGATATTTATATATAAATATGTCTTAATTTAGAATGAACATGCCATGTGACAATTTTGTCATATATATCACTCTGCTTCTGAGTTATGGTGAACATTCAGTAGTTTTTGGACAAATACTGGTTTTCATATGATTAGTCCCAGATTTCATGAGTGTAAAGTACATCCAAGCTCTGGTCACATGACTTTATAATACTCCTTTACTTCACAGATCTTTCTCTTTTAACGCTTATGTATCAGTAAAAGAGTCATATGTGAATTGAAGATCTTATTTCCTTTTTTAAATTATGTGTTTAACATGGAATAATTCCTTTTTTGGAGGGAAGGAGGCCCCATTTTACTGATAATGTATTCCTCTAATAGCTGTAACTTGAATGGGATTTTCCTGATCTCATAGATATCAAAAGCCAACTCCCTTATTTGCTTTATAGTTATACATTCAATTCAATGATTATAATTAAGAATGTAATGTTGATTTCTAATATAAAACATCGAGGAAAGGAAATGACTTTCTATATTTTATTTACCAGAATATGAACAGAACTACAAACTGAACTCTTCACATCCTTGTGTGAAGATAGACTTTGTAAAATGAGCTACAGTTATACAATTAAAGAAAAAGAAAAGAATAGACTATTTTTAAATTTTAAAATTTTGTTATAAAGATGTGGGGTCCAAGTCAAGACTAGTTATATAAGTAATGTACATGCAGGTGAATTTTGGGTCTCCAACTGGTCCTCACTTTCCCTGGTTTAGGACCAGATACCCTTTGTGTTGATTTATTCCCCGCTGCTCACCAGGCAGTGTCCCATGACTGCTGACCCTTCCTTTGTGCTTCTATGGTAAATGTTCAGGTTCTATTTATTTATATTTATATTTATATTTATATTTATTTATTTATTTATTTTGTTTGTTTGTTTGAGTTAGGAGTCTCACTCTGTCGCTCAGATTGGAGTGCAGTGGCTGCTCCTGACCACTGCAGCCTCGCCCTGCTGAGCTCCGGCGATCCTTCCGCCTCAGCCTTCCAAGGAGCTGGAACTACAGTAGTGCACTACCACGCCCCGCTCATTTTTCATTTATTGTAGAAGTGAGGTCTTGCCAAGTTGCCCAGGCGGGTCTCGACCCCGCGGGCTTAGGCAATCCACTCACCTCAGCCTTTCAAAGGCGCGGGATTACCGGCTGAGCCACAAAGCCCGGCAATAGCTTTAATTTTTTGGGAAAATCTAGGAAGCAAGAAATTGTCACTGATATTCCAAACTGTCTGTTAGATATCAACATTTTATAACTGAGTTCTCTTACACAATTTTTAGAAACATGGTTTTCCATGTTATAATACTTTCTTAATTGTAAGTGACCCAGACATTTAATGAACATCATAATAATTTAAAATTTCAAATCACGTAAAACTTACCCAAACATTATCTCATTAATATTTACTTACTTTATTAAATTTAGCAGTTTGCTTAATTTCTTATGAAAACTGAGATTTCAGAAAGAGCTAGTCATTATTGTAAGCTATTTCCTGATTAATTTTTTTCAAAGCCTGTGAACATGGGGTTGCACCCTAAATAAGAAACTTAGGGTTAAATACATAGGCGTTTTACCAATAACTCAGAAGATTCAACTATTTTTGTTGACTGACAATTTTAAATTAGTTTTACTTGTCCAAAAAAGAATTTATACAAATAAAGATTATTCTCATCTAGGCTAAGTTTATAGTCTTATAACCCTTGTGCTGAACCCTGATACTTTAATATATTTATTAGAGGCAAATGTAAAACCTATGTAATTAGCAGACCCAGACAAAAATGTATGCTGACAATTCCAAAGACACTTTCATTTTATCAATACATTTAAAACCATTTCCATTTATCAAAGATCATGAAAGTCAAATTGCAATGCAATGAGATCAGTTTATTTAAATAAGCCAATTTGGTAGCATGCTGGACAAAACACATAAGATGCACATACATGTAAACATATTTAATCTTACACACATACATTTAAACAAAAATCCAATAGCTTTTACTTCTTAATTTTAGCCATGTGGTAGCAATATAAACTCACTATTTTGCAAAAGATGCCTAAATCCAAATTATATCTGACAAAATTGGAACCTGTTTGCACGGCTAAACCTTGTTTGCACGGCTAAACCTTGTTTGCCCAATAGGTAATCCTATCACTTGTGGACCAAAATTCGGTAAAGCAGTGTCCATGATAGTTTAATTTTTGAAGCTTTTTTTTTTCATTTTCAAATGCGTTTTCAATATTTATATTTTAGCTAGAACTAACTGAACAAAATTGTCACTTAACCTTGAAACAGTGCCCTTTATCTCAACACTAGTAGCTTAGTTACCAGCAAATTCACAGCAGGTAGAAAGGAAAATAGAGAGTTTAGGGATGGGCTTGGTGGCTCAGCCTGTAATCCCAGCACTTTGGGAGGCCTAGGCAAGTGGATTGCCTAAGTCTGCATGTTCGAGACCCACCTGGGCAACTTGGTGAGCCCTTGTCTCTACAATAAATAAAAAATAGCCGGGCATGATAGCATGGGCCTATAGTTCCAGCTACTTGGAAGGCTGAGGTGGAAGGATCGCTGGAGCCCAGCAGGTCAAGGCTGTGGTGGCTGGGAGTGTGCCACTGCACTCCAGTCTGGGCAAGACTCCAGCTCAAGAAAGAGAGAGAGAGAGAGAGAGAGAGAGAGAGAGAGAGAGAGAGAGAGAGAGAAGAGAGAGAACGAGCTTAGAAGACTTCATTTAATCCTGTAGTTGCAGGTTAACTATTTTAGCTCTGAAATTTTCTCACTGTAATTTGACCATTCTGCTCTAAAATGTACATAACCATAATAGGCCTTAACATTTAACCAGTTGAAGTTTCAAAAACTCTGGCATGCCTTTGAACTTCTTTCAAACATAAAATAAGCAGTGAAATCGAAGGAGGAGACTGGACAACAACTGAAAGTTTCAGGGGAGAGACAGTGAGGTGTTGTGACTGAGTCTGGTCTCTGAGCCTGAGATGGTGTGTGGATCAAGAACGTGCTGCTCGTGGAGAGAGCTCCTGCTAGCCTTGACACCAACAGTCTTCTCCCTCCTCCTAGTGTCCTAGTTTTCCCATTAATTTCTCATAACAATAATGGGGCTCTGGAGCACTGGATCACCAATTTTTATAAGTCCTCCAGAGGGACATTAGCAGCTTTGGGTCCCTTGGAGAGTCCTGTCCACCCATCCAGGTGATCTAGTCTTGCCATCTTCTCTAACACTCCATGCTCTGTAGTTGGATACTGGTATGAATCAGAGTCTGTCAAGCCTCTGATCAATCTCTGGGCCCACTCAGGGCTCACCTGTGAGATCCCAGGCAAACTATGATTGAAAGTCCCTATGATAGAGGCCCTTGCATGTCTTGGGAATAGTTCCCCTGATGCCTTAGTAAGACACTCAGTCACCTGAAAGTGTCTGCTTTCACAGACCAAAGGGAAAATGCCTCTTACCTTAAACCTGGGCTGACGTCTAGGTTCATAACCAAGAGGGCTTCCCTTTTCTTTTCCATCAACTATCACTGTCACACTCTCTCACACACACATACAGGCATGCATGCACACAAACACAAATACAAATCTGACTAGGACTTTGTGGCCACAGAATAGCTGCCAATAGGTACTGATAACCATTCAATGCTTTGATCCGACATGCATGCTCATAAACAGACCCCAAGACTCAGAATACTAGTTTGGTTTACCTATAAAAGCATTCCCTTCAAGGAAAGACAAGTGCTCCAAAATCCTGTTCTTCCAGCTTGGTCACAGAGGGTAGGTGGCTGAATTAGGAGTTGTGTTTGGAGGGGGCATTCCTTGGAGAGTGCCCAGAGCAAGAGGGCTCCAACAGATGCTGGAAGTCTCCTGGGGAGCAGCCTCGTGGACGGTGGCCAGTTGCAAGCAGTCTAATCTCTTCTTGGTTACTAAATTTTATGGTCCAACTCAATAAATTCACTGCTGTCCCAAGGACCAATCAAGATGAGAGGCAGCAACTGGGAGAAATGGATGTTTAATCTGATACCATGGCATCAGGAAGTAAATTGGTGTATTCACCCCAGCCCCCAAAACTTGCTTTTCAACAGTACAATTTACTCAGAATGTATACTCTATAGCCCCTCAGCCATCCCTCAGGCTAAATTAATAAAAGAATGTACATTTAGATAAACAGCTTTGACTCAAACATGAGAGATATAAGACACCCCCATTCCCTGGAACAGTGTTTTTATGATGGCAATTTCAAAGCCATTTTCCATAAACTTATAGATTCTGTTTTTATTTTGTGTGTGTATTTTTACTACAATTTCAGAAATTGAATACAGGTATGTTTAGCACACAGATTTATAATCTTCTAACATCATTTTCTAAACTTTATAATAAAAATATAAAAATAAAAGATATGTTATCATGTATACACACTAATTATATTATATAATTTATGTGCAGCCCAAGACAATTCCTCTTTACTCAGTGACACCCAGGAAAGCCAAAAGGTTGGATACCCCTGGTCTAATACATCCTGCCAAAAACATTTCATTGATAAGGATTTTAGCAAGCAAAACCTACTAGCTAGCTAGTAGATTAGTTGTTAACACGCTTAATAGTAGACGTTGCCAAGTCAGTAACCTTTTCTGCTTTCTCAAGGAGCCCTCTCTCTTTTTGAAAAGGAGAATAATTTTCAGCCTGGTGCTCTCAATTTTCCTTCAACTCTGAGAATTCATTTTCCAAAAACAGTGAGATCAAAATAAATTCCTCACTTGGTTCTATTGGAATGTATACTGTTGCTGTGTTCTGCAACATGTTAGTTTTCTTGGTACTGATTTCTAGGTGAGGAAAAAAACTTTGTAACAGACAGCCAGATGCCTCTGCACTGCTCAACAGCAGACCAATACATTGACAATGGGATTTGCAAGGGGAAAAAGAGTTTAATAAACACAAGGTTCTAAATGAGAAAATGAGAGATAATTTCAAGCCTCAGTTCCATTTCCTTGAGGGCTTCTAGGGAAGACTTTTAAGGGAATCCTGGAGGGTGCCACAGACTGGAAAATTTGTGGTCATTAATTGGTCAGCTAAGGTGAATGAAAACATCAGTAGGTGGAATCAGCATTATTTCCTGAGTCAGTTTTCCCTTGAGCCCTTCTGATCAGCTGGCAGTTTTGTTGGAATGTAAAATCTCAAAAGAGAAACTCAATAGAAAATTTAACATTTCACAATATCTTTTTTTTTTTTTAAACCTTTAGAACAGTTAAAGAACAAAGAGTCTTATGACAAGGGATAGGTTAGTTATGATGGAGTAGTAAACAGTGATCAGCCACAAGGAAATGGATGAAAAGACAAGTTTTTAAATGATTGCTGCCAATTGTGCTGCAAGCCTAGCTGGATTTTATCTTTTCTTAACTGATTTTGCAAAATGTTCATGGGACAATTTTAACTTCACTGTTCATGTCTTACGTGGGCATTAGTTTATTTTTCCCAGATCTTTACTCAGGTTTAAAAATTGTTTTAATTATTGAAGTCATCACTTGCTTTGAACAAGGGCATCAGTATTGACAGAAAAAGAAGAGGGTGGTTCTTACAATGGACACTAGGGGAGATGAGTCTTGCAAAGAGAAGGCTCTTTTGAAAGGATTCCAGGTTTCTCAAAAATAAATGCACATAAATGAAGTTGGGCATTTCAGCAGAATTTAAGTATGAGTTGCAGCGGACCTTAGAAAGGTTTCGAGTGCAAAGTTTATTTGGGATGTGTATGGTATAGAGATAGCAAAGGGGGTGTTAATATGGGAAAGGGAAAATGGAACAATGAAGATCGTTTTCTTAATCTAGCTACTAGACAAGGTAACTGGAATTTAAGACTCTCGAGCGATTCTGGAAATGAGGCAAAACACAATGCTCAAAATTGCCTTACCTTAGGGTGAGACTGCTGCATTATACCATTTTAGAGATTTATTGCTTGAGGCCTATCCTGGTGATAATGATTCAATACTTCTGGACTGCCATGTGTGACAGCAGCAAGTCTTTCACCAGCTCTAGGAGAAACAAAAGCTGGTAAATGCAGAGATACAGATACTATTTATACTAGTTGGCTGTTGGCCACAATTCACCAAATATCTCAAGGGATCTAAATGTTTCATGACAATGCTGCAACAATTGGAGATGAGTGGTAGGGATACTGTGCATGTAAACCATTCAACTACCTATGTACAGATCGTTTCAAAGGATCATCAGGTTGGCAGTGCAGAAAGAAGTCAGGGGCAGGGTTTTATGTATCTGTGTGTGTGTGTGTGTGTGTGTGTTCAGTTATCTCATTTGTGACTTAAGCCTGGACTTCTTTGAATGAACATGTCACTGCTGTATTTTTAAGTCAGTGAACTAATATGAAAGAAAAAGAAATGTAACTCTCACCAAATATGATTCGGAAAACTTAGAACAACTTTCAAATAAAGGTGGTCTTATCAATGTTGGAAGTGTAGTTAATAATCTTCATTGCACATTCTGTCAAAACAAAGAGAAAAAGCAAAATCCTAAACTTCTCCTTAGTTAAGGTAATTTTACACGAAAATAATTAGCAAAATCAGAGAACTCTTTGCTAGTTCAGCTTATCGAACACCAAAACCGAAAAATAGTTGACTTCAAAGAGGCAAAGAATCATTTATAAGTCCTTTTCCTTAATTAAGATTTTCATAAAATCTGAGTAAAGCATTTTTTATGTTTATATTTTCTAGGAAAGATTTATACTTGAACAACTATGGTGGTTCAATGAAAGGAGCTCTATGCAAAAAATACAAATTAAAGAGATGGAAAACTTTTGACTACATGAAATATAAGAAACCAAATCATTTCTTGCTTTTGTGTTTTTTTGGTTGTTGGTTAAAAGCCCACTTTTACAAAAAAGTTCATCTATAGTAATCTCATAATGCTTAAAAATAATATAAAACACAAAAAGTTTGTCTTTTCTTAATTGATTTTAAGAAATGTTCATGGAACAATTTTAACTTCACTGTTCATCTCTCTTTTTTTTTTTTTTCTCACTCTGTCACCCAGACTGCAGTGCAGTGGTATGCTCCTGGCCACCACAGCCTTGACCTGCTGGGTTCAGAGGATCCTTCCTTCTCAGACTTACAAGTAGCCAGAACTACAGGCCCGTGCTGCCACGGCCGGCTAATTTTGGATGTATTATAGAGATGAGGTCTTGCCAAGTTACCCAGGAGGGTCTTGAACCCGCGGGCTCAGGCAATTCACTCACCTCGGCCTTCCAAAGTGCTGGGATTACAGGCTAAGCCACCAAGCCCAGCCGAAAGTTCATCTTTTCCAAAAATGTTCATATACAATGATCTCAAATTGCTTTAAAATAAGCAATATAAAACACAAAATGGTTTCTTTGTGAGTCTGCTTTTGTATACGGATGAATAGTAGATTTCAATTCCAGATACTACATTGTAGATCAAGGTCTCTATTCCTGGTAACAAGGTTACGCTTCTGTGGACAAAGTGTAAATTTTAGTATCAGTATATTATCTGAATGAGATAGCATATTAACAAGGATAATAAATAACATATTAGTTAAAACAAAAAGTATAGAATACCTGAAGTCAAGTTCAAAGGGTTTTAAAGGAAGGGACAGTGAAGTATTGCAAGAAGTTTTGAAGGCTAACATTAATGAGGCACTCAAGTGTCAGTTAAGCTTCGCTGAAACAGCTTTTGTTGGAGTTTCACTCTTGTCACCTAAGTGGCATGCTCACTTAGACAATCTTTCCACCTCACCTTCCAAGTAGCTGGAACTACAGACACATGCCACCATGCCCGGCTAGTTTTTGTGATTTATTGTAGAGATGAAGTCTCACTAAGTTGCCCAGGTTGGTCTCGATCCCCCGGGCTTGGGCAATTCTCTCACCTTGGCCTCCTAAAGGGCTGAGATTATAGGCTGAGCCACCGTGTGCCTGGCCTGAAGCAGTTTTAGAGCACATGTGTGTGCGCGCGCGCATGTGTGTGTGTACGGAAAACCAGAAGGCTTTTCCAGTTGTGTCTTTTTGAACTTTGCCTGCCACCGTTGGGTTACTGTGCCAGGGATAAAGGGAGAGAATGAGAAAGGGAAATGAAATGCCAACCTAAATGACCTTGGGCAAGTTACTCAACTTTATGTGCCTCAGTTTTCTCATTGGTAAAAATGAGTATTATTATGTATGTACAATATCAAGTCATTTTCAAAAGTAAATGAACATATGCTAAGTGATTTAAACTATGTTCAGTACAAAGTAAATAAATATTTGTTTTTATGCAAAGACAAAAAATGCTGTGTGGAGTTGTATTAAACTAAGAAAATTTACTTTTGGTTTATCCATCTGTTTCTTTATTTTCCAAATAACTTTAAAGAAAGCTTTTGATGTTTACACATTTAAAAAAATCTCTCTCTCACCTACTTTAGTACTTGTCAACGTATTAACATTACAAAAATACTGTGAGAATTTCCTGTACTGTGGTTCCTGGAACATTTTAGAAACTTGTGATTTTACAGCTTCTTATTTGTGGTATAGATATGTGTCTCAGCAACAGATGATTCAAGAACATCGTTAAATACACAATTGTTTTTCTTTTATGCTAAATTAGATTTAACAAGTTTTACATTAAATTTTTCCTTTAGGTTTAATACTAACAAAACTACAGAACCAACTGGTCTGAAAGGCTAGGGGAACGTTGAACTTTTGGATTTTTTAACTTAGCTCAGGTATTACAATCCAACACATTTCTTCCAGAGCAAGTACACATCATGCCTTCTCTTCATCGACCTTGGAAGATCGTTTCTCATGGCAGGTATATGTGATCCCAGTCACAAATTAAAAAATAAATAATAGCCAGAAAAGGTAGTTCATGGGTTGGTTGATTTCAGTATGGTGCTGTATGAAAAAAGGACATGATTAACAATGATATTTTTACGCTTTTCATGTGGCAGTAGTCTCCACATTTATTTCACTTTCCTGATTCTTCCTTCTATAGCTTAGGCATATTCTGTGAAACTTTTCCAACAGATTTTAAGAGTGACTTCTGACAGAGATACCTCTAAATTCTAAATGAGACCCGGACTTACCTAGTTACATTTTAGCATAGAAACAAAGAGAAAGCCACAAATTAATGACACTGCTTTAAAAAGATTTTTAAAAATTTGCTGTTTTATTGTGACACCTCCAAATTACACAGATTCACATTTTGACACATAGTACAGTTTTAATGGTAACATCATTCTTTTAGGATGTGTTAATGTTAAAGCAGAATCTACTAACGTTCAAATGGGTTAGGGGTAAAGCCTATAAACCAGCAATTATGAGTGTGAGCAAAAGTAACATTATTAGAAAAAAAGATTGTTTATGTATCATAATTCACTATACTGTGAATTGAACCTGGGTCCCCAAGGTATTACCCATACATTGGTTGTAGAACCAGTCATCACACCAGGTCCAAAATGATCCAATGTCCTCTCTTTCTTACAAAACCTTTACAAATCTCTGAGTAGTTAGACATTTATCAGAGCAGAGCCTGTAAGGAGATGAGGAGAGGACACACTCCCACATAATATTATTGTGTTAATGATAGACTATGCAAAACGAAAGATTCTGGACCTAGACAGTCTTCCAATTGATTTTTGACTAAGATACTTACTAGCTTTGAAATCTTGATAAAAATAATTGGTCCTTATGCTTTCTCATTTACCAGATGGGTATAATACTATCTATCTTGCAATTTTCTTGCAAGAATAAAAGTAAATGTCTGTTACCTAAGCACAAAGAACACAATTTGATGCCTGTTGATCTCTTCTTACTTCAGATCTTGAGGCTTGTCTTCCGTTTAAAAAAATAAATGGTAAATCCACTTTACTGAGATAGAGCTAATAGAAAAGAAGATGTGTGGATAATTTCCCTGAAGAATATATTACACCACATAAAAATGTGTGTATTGGGGGCAGTCCTGAGTGGAATATCATTTTTCAGTATTTCATTGGCAAAATGACATGTTATAAAATGAAAAAAATTTTTTTTTGATTTTTCTTCACTGGATTCTGCTTTTCAGATCTTCAACTCCTTTGTTTGTTTTGTATGTTATTATCCTATCTCTCTTTCTCTACAGTATTTCAGACCACTCTGTGGAGACTTGTTTCTGGAATCTTAGGAGTAATATGCCTTTCACTGATGACTGCACTAGGAATTTTGTTGTCAAATTGTAAGTTTTTTAAGGCAACTCTACATAAAATCCAAACTGTGATGAAATTATTTAATATTAAAAGTTTCATATTATTAATGTATAATATATTAATTCATAAACTTCCATATAATTAGGAAATTTCTAATTATTTCTTGTAGTATTTTCTAAACCAAGGATAGAGCTAATGCCCTCTCCAGGACCTGACATGGGACTCCAGGAAAGTAAGTTATATACTTTGAAAAAGCTTAGCACTGGTAAAGGTTTAAAAAGACAGTTTCTTGTTCAGGCACACAGGAACGTAATGGAATGCTACACTTAGTAATACATGTTTGCCTACTAATTGTAGAATAGTCTCACATCATTGTTCTCTAACTTATGGATGATCAAAATAAATTGAACATACCTTATTCATATATATATGTGTGTGTGTATATATATATACACATATTGAGTAGGAATCTCACTCTGTCACCCAGGCTGGAGTGCAGTGGCATGCTCATGACCACTGCAGCCTCAACCTGCTGGGCTCAGGTGATTCTTCCACCTCAGCCTTCCAGGTAGCTGGAACTACAGGTACCCGCCACTACGTCTGGCTAATTTTCTTATTTTTAAATTTATTGTAGAAATAACTTCTCACCAAGTTACCCAGGTTGGTTTTGAACCCGCGTGTTCAGGCAATTCTCCTACCTCGGCCTCCCAAAGTACTGGGAATGTAGGTGTGAGCCACCGTGCCCGGCTATTCATATATTTAATAGAAAAACAGTAATCTGAAATGACAGATTTTGTCATATGAATGCTCATGATTAAGTAACAATTAAAAATATATACTACCATAAATATTATAATCAATCCTAATTGCCTGCCTATGCTTACCTTTAACTTTACTCATATCTCTTGACATAGTTTTTGTTTCTTCTATGATGCAGAATCTAGTGCAAAGTGCAAACTTTTTCATGTATTTTTTCCAGACGGTTCCCTAAGTTGTCTCACTATCTATTTATATCTTAACACCATCAGCATCATTCATATGGCAAACATTTGGGTGCTACTATGTGTCATGACTTTTATCACTGTGGATAAGTAATATTTGAAGACACTATCACTGATAAATTGTATAATCAAGCTTCAAATAATTGGATCATCTTTCTTTTTTGAAAAATAAAACACTGAAACATACACCATTAGAATTCTCCCAATGTATCATATCAAACTTTAGGATAACTGTTTATCTTTCTTTTTGAAAAATAAAATACTGAAACATATACTATTAGAATTCTCCCAATGCATCATATTCACATTCTCACATTATGATGCGTTTCCCAATGTATCATATTTTTTTCTGATCAAAATATATGCCAAAATGCTTTCCTTTTTCAAATTTCTTTTTTATCTGTTTGGCTCCTATTTACACTATGGTGCTGCTGAGCTTTGGGTCCCTTCCTCAAAAATGGTTCTTCTAACTATCCTCATCTAACACTGTGCTACATGCTGTTTTAACATACTGCAATTTTTGTATACTTACCTAAATTGTCATTAAATATAGTAATAAATGATTAGGAGTTATATCATTCTGAATCTATCTCTACAATAAAATCTCTATGAGGAAAAGTGTCATATTTAATTTGTTCATGTTAGTATCCCATGAACTGTGGTGTTCATAGTACATTCTCAAAGAATATTTAAATAATACACGAATAAATAGCAAATGATTTTTGTTTAATAATTAAATAGCATTAAAAAGTGGAAATTGTCATTGTCATCAGACATGTTTTATTTTTTCTCTTAGGCTCTGACTGCTGTTCTTGCCCAGAGAAGTGGATTGGGTACCGATGCAACTGTTACTTCGTTTCTAATGAGGAGAAAACTTGGGAAGAAAGTAGGCAGTCCCGTGCTTCTCTGAACTCCAGTCTACTTCAACTTCAAACCAGAGATGAACTGGCATGTACTAAGTCTGGTTTCCAACATTTTCTTTAGAAAAATATACTATATAACTAAGCTAACTAATGTAGTTCAAGTGTATTTTTTTTTTTTTTTTTTTTTTGAGCTTGAGTCTCACTCTGTCGGCCAGGCTGGATTGCAGTGGCACACTCATGGCCACCCCAGTGTCGACCTGCTGGGCACTGATGATCCTTCTGCCTCAGCCTTTCAAGTACCTGGAATTTTGGTGCATGCTACCACACCCGGCTAATTTTTGATTTATCATAAAACGAGGTCTCACCAAGTTGCCTGGGCTGGTCTGGAACCTGAAGGCTCCAGCAATTCTCTCACCTTGGCCTCCCAAAGTGCTGGGATTACAGGCTGGGCCACTGAGCCCAGCTTAATTCAAGTGCTTAATCAGATGGTAAATGAATGTATACTGAACTGTTGGCCTATCAATTCCATGTCCCGTGAAATAATCACCATAAAACCTACATAAAAATTCTTTAAGGTTTATGTCATAGGAAAAAGATCAAGATAATTACCAAATGAAGGCAAAAGAAAGTTTTCAGGGAGAATTCAAAGAACAAAATAATGACTCATCATATTTACCCATTTTATTAAAAAAAACAACTAAATTTCTTTATGATTTTTAGCTATTTTAATGGAATTTATAATTTATTTAATAATTTTACAGGTTTTGTCATTTTTCTGTTATATAATATGGAACTGGTATGGAGATTATGATCATATAAATCACTCAATTCTTAAGAAAAAGTGAAAAACTTCTTCAGCTAGCACCTGTGCTGACTATAGATTAAGTAGATTTATCGTTAAAATACTATTCATTTGGAATCAAATTTGATGGTTGAAACTTGTGAAGGAGGTGTTCCATGAAAAGTCTACCTCCCTTTATAAGGCTTTTCTTTTCTTCAAGAAGTGAGATTTTGTGTTATTTTTATCTTGCTAAATGAATGTGCCTGATAGATAAAAAAAAAAAAAAAAAATGTGAGGCCTGGAATATACCTTCTATATTAGAAATTAAAAATAATTTCAATTTGTGTAATGGAAAGGTTGAATTGTATTCTAAATGCAGACTTTCTTAAAAACATGTTATTTCCAACGTAGATTAAAATTATATTATTTGTTTTTCTCTGTCTCTATGCAGGATTTCATGCACTCCAGTCAGTACTATTACTGGGTTGGTCTGTTTTATAGTAAAGAACATAATGCCTGGTTGTGGGAGAATGGCTCCACTCTCTCCAAGAACCTGTGAGTTTCTGGCAGTGAAGGCCTTTTTTGTTCTTTGTAAATTTATTCTTAGATCTGACTAGTGGAGGTAGCTTCCAGGAGCCTAGTAGCTGAAATAACCTGTCTAGGGCACGAGGATAAGAAAAAAGAAAATGCACACCAGAGTAACAATTTTAGATTCACTTAGAACATTCAAGTTCATGCTCAAGTGACATGAAAGTTAGTGTATTTGTAACCACAAAAGAACGTTTGAGAGTGCTTCACTTTTGCCTTAGTATAAGCACTTGGATGTTTTTGTTTATGTACAGATACATCCACAGAGGCGGTACAGATAAAATGGTATATCTATTATTTCCTTTATTGTGTGGAGTCCAATATTCTCAGCATTCTTCCATGTTTTAAACATTCTGAGCTTATTTTCTATATATTTGTCATTTTAAAATCTCATTTTTATTCATAAACATGAAATTTGCAGCATCACACAATGACAAAGTTTATGCTCTCGTTTGTTTTTCTGTAGTAGATCAGCCAACACATCTTAAGCAAAATAGAGTTAAAGCATATCATACATACACACCATTACTGACAACAGCAAAAACAAAACAGAACAAATATCCTTGTTTTCAATGCTTTTGATTAGTGAGGGATAGCTTGGTGTTTTACAGCATTGTACTATAGAGACATGTAAATTGTGTTTGTTAAATAAAAAATGATTCAATATGTAAATAGAATTCCCAAATGATTTTAAAGATTATACTATTTAATTTGAAAATTTCCTGAATAGTCTCACTTTCTTCTTCATTACAGATTCCCATTCACTGAACCTTTTAATTCACAGAAATGCATAACCTATAGTCCAAAACAAAATGCTTTAGATGAACCCTGTGAAAAGAATAATCGTTATATCTGTAAGCAACGACTTATTTAAATGTTTCTTGGGTCATGGAGGGTGAGGACTAAAGGCCAAAAATCACAAATAATGATACATTTACCACTGATATTATTACAAATTGTCTACTTCTGGAGTTTGTAAAATGTTGTAAATGCTGTCTTATCATACAATGTTTGCTTACTTGAAATCATGAGTTTTAAAATAAAGGAAACTTGAACTCCTACACCTGAAATTAATAGTCAAGATAAATAAATATGAATATTTTCATTTGATGTGTACATTTATTATGAAATCAATGTAACTCTGTTGCACATTTATGTAGTTTTATATAATTCTTATAAATTTTCTCAGCAGAATTTTAAATAAAATTTATATCAAATAATATATGACAACATCATTTCAGTCTTTTGCATTTCATACCAAATTGGGAAGTTATAGTCTCATCTCACTTTTCTGAAAGTAAAAGTAATTTTAATGTTTTTTTGTTAGTTCTTTCTTGATATTTATATATAAATATGCTTTAATTTAGAATGAACATGCCATGTGACAATTTTCTCATATATATCCCTCTGCTTCTGAGTTGTGGTGAACAATCAGAAGTCTTTGGACAAATGTTGGTTTTCATATGATTAGTCCCAGATTTCAAGAGTGTAATGTACATCCAAACTCTGGTCACATGACTTTATAATACTTCTTTGCTCCACAGATCTTTCTTTTTTAACGCTTATGTATCAGTAAAAGAGTCATATGTGAATTGAAGATCTTATTTCCCTTTTTAAAGTATGTGTTTAACATTGAATAATTCCTTTTTTGGAGGAAGGAGACCCCATTTTACTGATAATGTGTACTAATAGCTGTAACTTGAATGGGATTTTCCTGATCTCATAGATATCAAAAGCCAACTCCC